TGTCACAGCACAGTCGCGGGACCGCGTATGTGAAAGTCGCGAGCAGCGACTTGTGCATCTTTAGAGTCAGTGTGTTTCTGGGCTGAAGTCGCGGACCGCGCAGCACAAGTCGCGAGCGCGAATGAAGTCGCAGAGCGCGCTTTGTGTGATCATATAAATGCTTGTATGTTGTTTTAATCCATGTTCTTAGGTTGTATTTTTGTTGAAAAATGATTGGATGCATGCATGTTGAGCAAAGGAATGTAATTACATGGCAAATGAAAGGCAAAAGAGTGTCACAGCATAAGTCGCGAGCGCGCAATGGGAAGTTGCGAGCGCGACGTGCTTTCCAGCATGCGCGAGCGCGCGACGTGATTCTGTGCAGTCTGTATTCTTTTGGCCATAACTCTCAATAGCTAATTCCAAATTGAGTGATTCAAAAACGCGTGTCAAGCTAACACAGAAAGGAACAAATAACTCTTCTATGACAATATACAACTTCAAATTGAATGATTCAAAAGCCCATGTAAAGCTAACACATAGAGAAACAAATAACTCTTCTATGACAATTCCTAATTCCATCATTTTCTGGGGTCAAAATCAAGATGAAGTTGCTGGTGAAATTTCCAGCAAAGCTCTGTTTCATAAAGTCATTCCATCCCCTGTTTTCACAACATATCCAATCTTCTCACTCAACAACAAGCACCATATCATCTCACTAGCAACACACCACACAATTTACATGCAAAGAATCTAGTAAACAACATGAGATATCAAACCTTGATGTCAAAAAGCTTGACCTCTGTTTTAGCTTCTCTTTTCTGCAGCTTTGGAACTTTCTTCTCCTATACACAAGAATTCTCATAACTCATCTCCAATAGAACTCAATTAAAGAGTGAATAACATATAACGTCAAGGAATTCTACTTACTTGGAGTGGACTTACTGCGTAACTTGCATGAAAAGTGCAAGGAAATGGAAGGGAAACGTAAGAAGAAAATGAAAAACAGGAAAATAGGAAAGTGAAAATGATAGGAACTGGGAAAGTGAGCTGATAAGAACGGGTAGTCTCTAAAAGAAATGACTTGGCTGTGTAACATATCTACTTGGTACCTCAAGTGTATAAAGACACAACTTAATACCCCACACTGTATGTTTGGCTGAAAACAAGGCCTAAACTTTTTCATGCAAATAAGTCCACTTATCATCTCATGCCACCCCAACCGGGTTTGGTTCAACCCAACTCACCCTTCCTCTATGAAATGACTCAACTCAACGCACTAGGATGTTACACGTTTAACTGGTTAAAAGTGAACACGGATGCTTCAACGTTTATTAAGTTTTTATTTAGATTTTGGATATGTTGTGCCAATGCTGCCGAATTTTTTTCAAATAAATTCAATATAGAATATACACTACCTTTATATATAATATATATTATATATATAAACCTGTGTATTGGAATTAAATGAACTTATGATTTTACATTTCTTATCAGTTCCCCCTTATTATAGAAATTAACCTTAGTAGTATTAAGTGTAACTGAAAACATTACTTAGTTGGCATTTGTTTTAAGGCTAAATCAACTAATGCAATTACATAGGAACTACCCTTGATTAAAAACATTTAATTAGGTAACAAAAATGCAAAATAATCGAATTGGAATGTAGTGTGTAAAATCAAGGCTAGATCAGTTGTTCATGCACTTGAAACGAAACAATCTTCTTCACTCGCAGTATCGGAGGCATTTCCAGAAGTTAGGGTTGAAACGCAACTGATGCAAGTTGTTGAAGATTTAACAGATAGATTAGATGATGAAAGCCGATCTTATGTTTAAATAGGACCATCAGATGATGAAGAGGAAGAAGATCAATAGATCATGGGTACCTCAGAAGATGAATATGAAGAAGAGGAAGCTGATGAAGACGAGGAGGAAGCAGATGATATTCAAGACACTTAAAACTTAGAGCAATTTTACTGTTACAAATTGATAAATGTATATGTAATTAATATTATTAATGAAGAATTTCAATGGTTATATCACTTTGTTACTCGTATTACCACATGTTCTAATTCATAATAATTGTATAATTCATTTTATTAGGTTTGATATCTGCAATACAGATGCGGCTAAGGCAAGCGTTTGATTTTCTGACGCGCCGGCAGTGGTTCGCGGAGTCGTGTACCTGGACGCAGGCCCGTGTACGAGTGAGGGGCGACCCTCGCCTTGTTCAGGTACTCTGGCTTCAGATCTGCTCAGCGACCTACTTCCGCCATCACAGTCCTTCTTCAGTGTACGTCTGGGGCTTCATCCTCGCTCACATCCCAGACTGCCCCATCCACAAGCCTGTCGCTCCGTTCCTCTTCTTGCTCTTCCTCTTCTACCACCGTTCTGCCATTAACAACTCCAGCAGGACTAAGTCACCCACTGTGCAAGGTAAGTAAGTCATAACATGTCATTTTAATTAAATTAATATAGAAATTGTATACACATTTGTCATTATTCAGCTTCTTTCAATCACGGTATCACCCTCAGTTTGGTATAGCGGAATAAATAATTATTCAATTTCTGTAGCCATATTTTGTAATATATTTTAACTTATCATCTCTGTATGCTTTCGTCTGTAAGTTATTATTTCAACTTCTGTTTTTTTTCATCATATAAATCCAACTTCTCGAGCAGCGAGCAAATTTTGAGATAAATGCAAGCTACGCAGCTGCATAAACGAAGATACACTATGGGATGCCGATACCCACAATAGGCGAAAATTTTATTGGGGAGAGTTCCAGTTTACCTCTTTGGTTAAGCATATCATCATCTCAATGTGTTACAATTCAGAGATAAAAAAATCCTTAGTGTTTAAACGCTAATTATTTCATTCTTTTTGCAGAACACATTCATATGGGGAACGAGCCATTTACAAGCTAGTTGAAAGTAGCCGGAGAAGATGCGCGATCAACGCTTGACTTCACGTTATAGGATAGAAAAAGCGGTAAAGAAGCGATGCGTGTCCAGGAGGATATGAAGAGGCTGGGGCCAAAAGCTGGAGATCCTGCATCAATAAAGGCGGGAAGATATGCACAAACAGGCGCAGTGAGACTGCGGTGATGGAGCGACCTTCGCGACACCAGGCGGATCTCATATTGCATATAGAGACAGCTCGATTATGTAGTAAGTACCTAGTCCATTTTAATACCTATGTTTTAATGAAATAATATATATATTATATACTCATGAATAAAAAATTTATACAGGCTAAAGAATGAGTCAGGAGCCCACACCGATGAGTGTAAATTACACTCAACGAAGACCACAATCTAACCTTGTCACAGAACGGGCTTGAGCGTCCAAGTAAAAACAGTAACAATGGAATTTAATATACATTATTACCCTCTAAATCATGCGGAAGATGTACAAGTTCAATTAATAAAGCTTGGCATGCATTGATTAATAATTTTTATTTTTCAGGGAACTATACTACAGCTCGGGGAAGTATTTTTATTCTCAGACCGATGAATCCGGAAGTGAGTTCAAGGAATTGACGAAGGGGTTAGCGGCTTTATCCTCAGGCTGTAGGGGGCGAGAAGAAGAGAAGTCATACGCCATCGTCAGCATCACAGTTTACATCTGGTCGCGCTCACGCTTCTACGAGCCAGCGCAGCACCGCAGCCGGAGCACACTGGCTCGCACCTATGATATTGATATACGCTTCAAGCTTGCTGATGCAGCAGGACAGGATTGCAGAGCTTAGACGCATTGTGCTTGCGCTGTCGGTGAGGACCTGCTGGTACTTCCTCTGATCCTGCAGCCGCTACAGACGACATGTTATCGACGTCTCAGCAGCAGCACTATCGCGCTCCTGATTCCCGATGCTGCAGGATACCTTGCTCAAACCCTCTGGCGCTAATTCACATCCAGCAGTTCTTCCTTCCCGGCGGGTCCGGATAATCTGATCCTGCAGAATGAGGCACAGCTATATAGATTGATTCCGGACCTTTATTTTTCATGTGTATTTTCATTTTTTAACTTTGTCAGAAACAATAAAAATTACATTTTACTGTTCTTGATTGCGTGTGTATATATGCATTAGTGTCAATTTCACACGGTGTAGAAAAATTTGTTCAAATTATATTTAATTTTTTTATTCCCTTTTTCATTTCTTGCGACCGATTTGCGGGACCGTTGATTACCAAAAAAACAATTTGTGAATTATAAATTGAACCGATTGCGACCGAATTTTAAAAAAACTTGCGGACCGGATTCTACGACCAAAGTTCGCGACTGGAATTCTCCAATTAACCACGACCAAAAATTTTGCGACCGCTTTTTCAATTTTGCGACCGAATTATCGGTCTCTAATTTGCGACCGATTTTCTCATCGGTCGCAATTGACATTTGCGACCAGTGATTTTGCGACCGACGTTTGTAGGTCGCACGCAAATCGGTCGCAAAGTATAAATAGCGACCGATTTTTGCCATTTTGCGACCGATTTGTCGGTCGCAAAATGGCGTTTTTTTTGTAGTGGACCTCATTTAATATTGGCCTTAGAAGTAATAATGGATAGAAAATGCTTACTACGGGCTTTGGATGCTTTACGCTTTCCTGAATTCTAGTTCCGTTCAAACTAAATTCCAAATGATTTATAGATATTTAATATTATTTACTGGTTGGATAAAATTTGTGGATTTACCTAATAAACTCGTAATCTAATTCATAAAGATGATTTGCGCAATCTAATCCATTATATCATTGGATTAGATTGGATTTGGTCAAGTTTCTCAAATTAGATAAGGTTAGAACAGTTCTTTTGCAATCCTATCTATTCCTATTTTCGAGGAAATTTAAACACTAAATAAAAAAATTAACAAATTTCATTCAATTACGAAAAATATCACTCTTTCTAGGCTTTAACTCAATTCTGATCGCTGGTCGTTAAACTTGTCAAAAGAGCTAGAATGAGCAGTTAATTAACGGTTTTGCTTGGTTATTTAGGAAAAAATTAAAAAAAAAAAAAAAGCGCGCGAAGAAGAGAGAAAAGAGCTACGATCTGCTCGTCCAAGTCTTGCCACTTCCATAGCTGTTTGTTCCGTAGTTTCCTTCACCTTTCCTTTCTTCTTGCTTATATTGAAGAAAACTGAATGTTCTCTTTCAACCTGGAACTCTCTAAATGCCTTACTTGTTTATCATCTCTCTATCCAATCTGTTAATTTTAGTTAAAGTAACGAAATTTTCTAGCTCTTTCGGTATCTCATTGCTTTTTCCATGAAATTGCTAATAAATTCTCGTCAAATTTTCATGTGCCAATCTCTTTATTTTCTTATTACATTGTCCTCACCTAGATTTCCATTTGTGTATGTGTTCGCTAAATTGTCTCACTGAAATTCTTACAAGTATTTGTATTTGGATTGGAAAAATTTGTGCGTTTGGGCCTCTTTATTTTCTTGTTACATAGTGCACGGTGAGATTTTTCCATTTGTGCCTAATATGTTCAATGAATAGTGTCACTGAAATTTCAAATTTTTTCAAATTCGTGTATTTGGGTTGGAAACTTTTGTGCGTATGGGCCTCTTTATTTCCTTATTACTTTATGCACAGTGAGATATTTCCATTGGCTGCGATCGTAGGCCTAGCTTGAGTTCTCATGAGCCTTGGGTTTCCAAATCTTTGTCTTATGATGGAAGGGTAAGACCTCATGACATATCTTTTTCTTGCAAGGAAGGTGTAAAGGGGCATATACATTGTCTAGTCTAGATTCCGAAAACACATTGCACAAGTGAAATAAGAAACTATGCCTGCGAACTCTAGTTGTTGATACGCGATTTTGTTACTATCTAGCCACTAGACCTGCTTTTAGGAAGTGAGATTGCATCGAGAAACTTACCCAATACATGTCAGTGCTCTCATCAATAATTTGTTCACTTGTTGCAGGTAGTTGAAGAATCAGTCAGTTAGGCCTTTCTGTTACAAGGTAAAATTGGAAAAATACCTCTTACTTTATCCAAATAGTAAAAATGTATTCATATATGTATAGGAAAAGTCAAATACTAAGCTTAGCTAAACATAACAAAGTAAATTAGAATTATAAAGCTTGCGATTTATTTATCTAACTGACACTCCCCCTCAAGTTGAGCACATATATATATTATTATCTATACTCAATTTGCCTATGGGAAAATTGTGCTATCCAGGTTACAAAACCACTGTGAATTAGTCTGACAGTTGCTGCTCTGTCTTCAAATACAGAGGCTTGACTGCTCTATTTGCAATCTTTTCTCAAACAGAATGGCATCCAATGCTATGTGCCTTGTCCTCTTCTTGAACACTGGATTTTTGGTATATGCATAGAAGAAATATTATCACAATAATAGAGAGAGAGTTTCCTTTATGTGAAAATTTAAAAACTTATAACAAATGGAATAGCCATACAATTTCACAAGTTATAGTCATTGTCCTGTATTCTGCATCTGCAGAGCTTCTAAAAACAGCATTTTGCTTCTTTGATTTCCAGCTAATGAAAGATCTCCAATGAACACAGGGACCTACTGGAAGGACCATATTTGGAATATGTATTTGGATTGGTTTTACCATTGAAATGTATTCTGGCTCAGAAGGATCGAGTGAAATGTTAGTGCAGGGAAGGATGAGCCATGTTGTCTCCTAAACGTGGCAAATAGTGTCTTTTTCCTTGCATTTCAAGCTTCGTAAGAACTTTGGAGTGTGTGTTTGTCATTATTGTTTGAGCTGACATTATTGTTAGACATCAATAAAGTTTGTTTTTAAGGTGCCAACAAGGGGTGATTGGAGTGTAGCCTTTGGGCTGATTGAGCCTTCAATGAATCAAAAAAAAATTTGTTAGTGGTATTTTTTTTAAGCAGTTTCAACATGTCAAAATAAGCTTGTGGGTTTTATTTAAATCTATGTATTTACAGTTTTAGATTTCTCAGTTTAATTTAAAATTTATCTCGATTTGCTCTGATTCAATATAGTTTGAATCAAATCAAGTGAACGTTAACCCCTAATTTCCCTCATTGCATTTGAACATTGGAATATTAAGATATATATGAATTATTATTATTAGTGTTTTGAGAAAAAAAAACAGGTTGTATTTTGAAAGAGGAAATTTACCAGTAAAAGTTAAAATTATATTGGTGCGGTAAAATTGTGGTGAGCAAGAGCAAGGTGAGGACAAATAAGAAAAAGTTAGGTGGGTTGAGGTTGACGTGGAGGTAGGCACACTTGTTATGTCCTTGTTGACAAAAGCAGCTAAACACATACAAATTAATATATACAAATTGCGTTCTTTTATGGGCTTTGAGAATTGCAACATCAAATTCTATGACTCATCCCTTTACATAAACATTATTGTTGACCACATCTTTCTTTTTTTTTTTTTTATGTTTTATTAGGCTATGAATATCTAATCTAGAGATATCCTTTGAAATTTTACTAGTCGGAATTCACATTTATATTTTAGTATATGATAATAATTAAATGTTAATATCAAATTGGTTGTCAACTATATGAATTTTTTATTTTCGTCTCGTTCTGTTCGTAGATAAATGGTTATACGAGTCATTTATTTCTATTTTGTTGTATTCATAGTTAGATATTGTGGTGCTACTTTGTTAAGTCTCTTTCAAAAGAATTAGTAGCCTCTAAATATGGTGAAACCTCAAAAGGGAGAGAGGGGAAGCAAAGAAAAGAAAGTGGTTTAGGAGGAGATCTATAAATGGAGGGATAAGTCAAATAATTTGGTTCTTTCACTCTCCTTGATTAGGAGTTTTTGGACCACCATTAAGGGTTATTGTTACATCACACTCCACTGCTATAAACCCAATTCCTATACTTGGTGATTACAAATTATTGTTACATCACATTCACAACATTAACTACTAGTATTTTATATATGGAAACTGATTTTATTTTATTTGGATCTGTATAGGTTGCGAAATACAATTAGTTTGTTTCTATTTTTTAAAAAATAGACTAAAACATTATTATAGTTTACTTACGTCAGATTATAAATAATTCCATTTAGTTTTTGCATTTTTTGTTAAGTACGTTATTAAATTACGAAAATTTCCATTTTTTTTGTTAAAAAAACATAGCGACATACTAGTTATATTTTTCAAATATAAGGACCATATTATAATTTTGTTGGTATAATATTTTAATATCTCTTTTGACCTTTGTATTTTCTTATTTACTTAACGGAAAAAAAATAAAAATTAGACAAAATGACCTAGTAGTATAACAGAAGTAAAACAAAGAGAAATTTAGTATATTTTAAGAAAAACAAAGATATATTAATTGTATTTTACAAATTACAGGGATCATACCGTATTTTTTTCATTTTATTTTCATTTACTTAGCATCCATTTTCCCCATCTGTAATGTGAAATTATTGATTATACTTGGTGGCTTTGAAATATTGTTGGTGTGACGTGTGAAGTATATTATTATTGATTCAAAATATATTAAATGTAAATTTTAATTAAAAATCAATTTTATTGATGTTGATGTAAAAGAATTTAATTTTTCAAATGGTACGTAAGAAAATAGTACAATGCAATGTCATAATTTTTTTTTATATTTATATTTATTAGGAGTAATAATAAGCAGTACATAATGATGAAGACGTTACTATTATTTACAAGTACAACCATGATGATGAAATTTTCTTTCTCTTGCCTATTATTATATTACCATCCTTAGTAGGAAGTTACAAGACAAAGAAACCTTTAACCTCTGCTTCTTGAAATTTCATTTTTCTTTTTGTACATTTAAAGAAATATTCAAAAGCCTTTGCATTATAAGTGTCGTTTAAGATTTTTTTTTTTATACTGTTAGAAAATTAATGAAATATTAATTTTTTTAAGCTTTACCCTTATCTTTTAGTATCTCCACTAATTAATAAGAATTAATTATTTAAAAAATTGATAAAAATATAATTGTGCTATATTATTCGCTTGGTTCTAAAATTATAATTCCAAATGGTTTTCATGTAATTGAACAATAGTTAGTTAAATCAGATTATATTTTTTTTCTTATTTTTTTTATTTATATCCTTAAAAAATCAATTATTTGACTTTTTTTTTCTACTATTTAATAAATTCAATTAAACAAACAAATAAGCAGAAAATAATAATGTGAGAAATAAAATAAATGAAAACCTAAAAGTTATCGTTTTTTCTTTCATAGGTTGCCACCGGTGAATTCTCACCAATGACAACTCATTTTCCTTTTGGATTTTCTTTTTTTAAATACAATTTATACCTTTTAATACAGATTTGAGCAGTAATGAAAAAATTTGAAAAATATCAAATGGATTTGTAAGAATACTATGAAGTCAAATAATAATTATAAATAACTACCAATGAAGTCAACAATCGCCTAGATATTATTCAAATTAAGAATGTATTTTTTTTATTAACAATAAATATAGAAATACGTTGATTTGTCTTAACGAAATTTATAATTTAATTTAAAAAAAAAGATAAATTAAAGTAATATTAATTATTTACACGAATTATTATATACGGCATTGTGAAAAAGTGAAAAAAAAATTTTTAAAAATATAAATCAAATAATTATTTTGGAACAATTAGAAAAGAAATTGGAACTATAATTTTAAACGGATCGTGTGTATATATATATATATATATTTTTTTTTTTAATTGGTCAAACAGCAAATATATAACTGTACGAGCTGAATAACACACATTTTCCATAAGGGATAAGGGTGAAATCCCGAAAAACTCCCGTGACAGTGAATGGAAATAATTTCCATTCTCACAAAACAAAACTCTCTTCTTTAACTATTTGCGTACTCTGCCTTCCAAAACCTCTTATTAATGCTTTCAATGTGACTTACAACCGTTACTCTTCATTCATATCATCCTTCTTAACTTCTTCTTCTTCTTCCTCCTCCTCTAACCCTAGCTCTTCTCTTTCCCTAACTACCTAACAATAATACTAGTAATAAGAGTTCTTGAAATTTTCCCTTCTCTTTCATTTCTTGAACTTAAAATATCTTCCATAAGGTTTCAATCTTTAATCTTTTCTTTGTTTTAACGTTTCTTGAAAGCTTAACTTGTCTATAATTAGGTTGCTGATTGTGAGTCGACAATTTGTTTTGTTTGTTTGAACAGGTCTTAAAAACCAAAGATGGTGATGATGGGATTGGAGAGGTTGATGGGGAACTTGAAGTCAAAAATAAGGTCATTGAAGATGAAGAAGCCATATGATAAAATTGAAAAGAGTGAAAGTATGAGAGTTGAAATAAGAAGCAGGAAAGCTAAGAAGCTCATTGAAGAAACCTTGAAAATTGCAGATTCTCCAAAGAGCAGAACTTATGCTTTTTGATTATGTTTGAGTTTATTTACTTAGAGTAACAGGGGGAATTTCTAATGTTCCTCTGCTTTTAATGTTATATAAACTGTGTTTAGTTATAGAAAATATATAATAGAATGTTATCTCTACTTCTCTTTCAGCCATCCATAGATTTTCTTTCCTTTTACTTTTCTTTTTCTGTTCACTTGCAAGTTATTAGCTTCAAAATGCCTTTTTTTTTTTTTTTTTTTTTTTTTTTTTTTTTTTTTTTTTTTTTCTTCTAGTTAATTTAGCTCTAAACAAGAATTCCAATTCGTAATTCTAGTATATTAAGCTAAAGCTGATTCTAATTTATTAATTTTCTTTTCAGTTACTCATTAGTAGAAGAAATAAAACTATGTAACTAATATAATATCAGTTATAAGAAACAAACCGGTAAAAAGCGACTCATATTAACTCATAATGAATAGATGATTTTCACAAAATCAAGAGTTCAATTTATGAAATTAATCTGATACTCATAAGGAGTGACTCAAATGATAAAACACATTTCAGTTTAGTAGATGATCTTTATACAAGCAAGAGTTCAATTCATGAAATTAATTTCGGCAATAATGAAAGAAGAACAATTTCATACTCAAAAGGGAATTATTTGACTCAAATAGTTATTGTCCTTTGAAAGTAATCATTCCATGTTGCCTAAGGTTGCTTTCCACAGACCATTACCATTTCATAATACTTTTAAGTACTTGCCTAAAAGAGAGAGAATAACTACTAGAATATGCTTCCTAACTTTTGCTTATCCGAATCAAACTTACCCACTATAAGAAACAAAGGAAGCGTGCTTTTGATAATTTGAAATTGAAGGATTACCAAAAAAAAATTTACCTTTCAAATGAAAATCTTAAAATTTTACTGCTAGAGTTATCCTTGGAGATAATTTTAGTTAATTTTTAAAATAGGAAAAAGCTTTACTTACAAAATGTAGAAATAGGTAATTAAAACATTAGTAATCTATAACAGCAGTTAAAAAATTGAGATAGTAGCTTAAATTAAATTCAATTGCAATTTTCTAAATGTGAAAAGATTTCTAATTTCTGACAAAATGAAAAATATTCAATCCCCCAAAAATTGAGGCGCTGACTTACAATTTATTTTTCTAAATGGGTAGCCTTTCTTTAAATCAAGAACTACTTTAGTCTATATGACAACAGTAAACTGAAGATAAACCTTTGCCTAAAGAATTCTTTGCTGACTATAAGCTGATAAGGAAAGTGTGACATAAATAATAGAATAAAAAGCAGCAACGAAGTATATATATATATCCCAAAGGTGAGAGGAGGTTTTAGATTCAAAACCTACTTTTTCAGATTTTGTGGTGTCTAATGTAAACTCTTGATATCTTTAATGGGTTTCTTCTACTGTTATTGAGTCTAGCTATTCTTCAACATGCTCCTATTCTAATTTATAATTATAATATGATTTATTTGAAATTTTGTAACTTGTAAAGCTTACTTATTCCAGTTCTTCTTAATGCTGATTTGTAATACATCCTATCTATATAAACATATTTCATTAAGAAAAAAAAAAAAAAAAAAAAGGAAATTGTCTAATAAAAACATATTTCATAAGAAAGAAAAAAAAAAAAAAAAAAGGAAATTGGCCCTTTATGCACCAATAAGAAGAAAAATGGAAGTAAAAAAGATTGCAAATAGAGGCGTGAGAAATGTGAAAATCAAAGACAAAGATAAAGAAAGTTGGTTCTTGACGAACGTGGGCAGCTACTTTTGCTACATAGAAATTAAAGAGTTTGATTGTGGACAATAATGGGTTTTAAAGCTCAAATTATTTAATATCCTCAGAAAAAAAAAAAAAAAAAAAAAAAAAAAAAGGAAATTGCCCTTTATGCACCAATAAGAAGAAAATGGAAGTAAAAAAGATTGCAAATAAGAGGCTGAGAATATGTGAAAATCAAAGACAAGATAAAGAAAGTTGGTTCTGACGACGTGGCACTCTTTTGCACATGAAATTAAAGATTTGATTGTGGACAATAATGGGTTTTAAAGGCTCAAATTATTTAATATCCTCAGAAAAGAAAAGTTAAGTCCACATTCATACCCACTTCATATATAGGGATCAAGAGTGTCCACACAATAAAGATAAATGTACTACTGCAAAAAGTTTTTCCTGAATGAAACTAAAGGAGACAGTAGAAATTAGAAAGTTATATGTATTGTCTAATTAGAAAGAGAACAAAGAATAAAAATTGCAAGCATATGTAGTGTTGTTTAGCTGTTGATTCAGTACCTTGTCTTATTTTGTGAGATACCTAATTTGATTACGATGTTCTTAATAATTAATTTTGAAAAGCAAATGGAAGTGTTAACCTTTCATCATCGCAATAGTCATCATCTCTATAACAAATTTAAAGGTTCTTTAACTGTTTGGGTATGCTATTTTTGTTTTTCTTCATTTGTATTTGTCAAATTTAAATAAGCTAGCTTTGTTTAGGTTGACTCAGGAGAATCTTAAGAGTAAATTAGAATATACTTGCACAGTCAAAATACCTATAATAGTCAAGACATTAAATCCTGAATTTTGATAATTTTCTATGTACCAAAAGAAAAATACTCCAAAAATTAGGATTAATTCAGAGAAAAACCAAAAGTACAAGCACACAAAAATCAGTAATTTCGATACAACAACAACTAAGTCTTAGTCTCAAACTAATTGGGTAGGATAGCTTTTATTACCATTTCCGCTCTGTTCATATCAAAGCAAATAATTAATTAACAATAACTTTTTTATTTTTTTCTCAAAGGATCATATTCATATTAATACTTTATTCTAACAGGTATCATATACCATGGAAAAATCAACAAAACACAAACTTGTTGGGCCAAAATGCTTCTTTAGAAGTGTAGAGAGTTGGGCTCTAGGAACAGATGTCTCAAATGTTGCTTAATAAGTATAAGAAATTCAATAACTAGCTCTTGTTAAGACTAATTAAATAAAGAAACGTGCATCAATTTGTTTTGAGTGACAGATAGTACACAGACTGAAACTGCTACAGCAGCGCTCAAGTAAAATGCATCATAGGCGTATAAGAAATGTAGATTCTTGTAGTGTAAGAAAGTATTCCTGTGAAACATATTATCTGGCATGATGATAAAGTCTTTGGAGATCCTTACAGTGCATGCATGTCCATGGTAACAAAGGAGGGTCCAGGCAGTACATATGAATACATTGAATTTGGCAGTAATGACAGCTAATGAGAAGATCCTCAGGTTCCCGGCAAAAGCATTCAGCACAAACTGTGGGTAATGAGGACTGTTGAACAAAAGAAAACTAGAATACTTAGCACATGAATTCTCATAGCGCATGGCAAAAAAATGAACACCTTAAACATTTTTTACGTGTTATTCTTCGAGCTAGTTCAGAAAAAAGCTACATCAAAAATGTTTTTCAGAGATTATTTAAGTTTGTTTTTAAAGTGAATTTCACATGTTTTAATCATAAAGATGTCAAAAATTTTAAATAACACATCTTAACTGCTTTTTAAAACACCATCTAAATTCTAAAAAAGTGCATTGTTTCAATGGCAAACAGACTGGAAGTCTATGGTTGGAGCTAAACTAATTAAACATCAATATTACCTCACCACCAAATCTGCATCTTTCTTGATCATTTAATAAAAAAATATCTGTTGTTGAGGCACACGGAATAGTTTGAGAGTACATTTTCTGATCAGAAGTGGTTGCGTGCTCCACTTTAGTAATGCTTACAAATCTAGCCTTGCACAAAGGACATGTTGGATTCTTTCTGCTCGAAATCTACACATATTATCAGCAGCAGAACCAAAACTTCAAAATTACGATTGAGTAAAGAGCATAGAACAATATAACAAGGAAGACATATATGGAGAATTCTATCAAATGATACCAAGATGATTAAGAAAAAAAAAAAGTCGGGTTGACAAAATGAGTTAATCTGAATAGAATGTTCAACTATGAAACAGTTTAAATTTCAGCCAATTGCTTAATAACTCGATAGATATGAGGACCACATAATAGTTAAGCATTTATGCTTCCCCAAGATACATATAAAAGGGTAGAAGAGAAGGAAATTTTAACTTCTCCATAAACAATAGCAGTGCAGTACTTGAATATTCAATCATAATCGAAAATGCTCAAAGACAGTTCACAACTACAATCCAAAAACCTTCTTACAGCATTTACATTCATTGGGGCAACTTGTATTTCAGATGAGAAAGAACTCCTCTAAAATGCAATCATATTATTTATGAAAATTTCAGACTCTACAGAATGTTTTTGGCATACAAGATTCAACTCAGATGCTCCTATGTAACCAAACCAAGTCTAGAAGGAAAAAGAATGAGAGAGTAAAATGCGAAATTAACTTTAACAAGAAGGAAAATAAACAATATATAATTACACCTAAATCTGAAAATCCCGCCGAAATAAAATCTGGAAAACATGTATTTACTGGTCAAGAATGGTCATGATTCTAATATTAAATTACTAGGACAACATTTAAACAGTAAGCAAATAAAACCTGAGTTACCATTTGAAGAGCATATATGAAGATAATCGAAGCAGTTGGAGCTTCAGGAAACAAAACAACACAAAAGGGGAGCAAAAAGAAAACAGCAATAACAATACCTAAGGAAGAAATCACTTGCATGTAATAGAAGCAATATCCATAGTCCAAAAAGGCAAGACTAAAACAATGCAAGTGCATGGAAAATTTAGAATTTTATAATTGAAAAACAATATCCATAACCATTTTGTAGCACATTAAGCTAATTCATTGAAATGAATACTATAATTCACCGTTTGAAATTTACACGAGTTTATGAATGAAGACAGAGAGGCATCAATTAAACAGGGAGAGAATAAATACCAATTGATCAGCCCAGTTTTGGATGCATGAATAGCAAAATCGATGTTTGCATGGCAAAACACCTCTGGTTGAACAAAACTCTGTCCAACATATTATACACGATAAGTCCTCTGATTTGCTATTGGGTTCAACACTTGCTTCCTTATTCTTGCCAGCAAAGTTCTCAATAGCAGGACGACTTTCTGATCCATCCATTCCAATCAGTGCCTCCTCAAGATATGGGTTTGAATCCTTTGCTGTAGTTGATTGATTTGAATCTTTTATATCTTCAATATCATCAAAAGCTTCATTTGAAGAAGCCCCAACGCCAGTCAACGGAGCATCAGATGCTCTTCCAGTTTCGAATATATTAACATTCTTGTCATAACCTTCATATTTAGAGGAAGCTGCAGCTTCACTGTTCTTGTTATGAAGTCTAATCGGGTTGCTCTCTTGGTCAGAATCTGAAAGCTCTATCTGCAAATTGTTTTTGCGAACATTTTTCTTTACAAGCCTCCGCCCGTTAGGAGGAGGTTCAGCTAAAAATGTACTTCCAATATCATCAGAAATCTTCCTTTTCCCCCTCGCTAGTTGACTGTCCATGACATCAAATATTGACTCTTCATGGCCTGAAATCTTCCCTTTTTCTCTCACAGAGTGCATGGATGATTTTGAACTTGAATTTTCATGCTTTTCAAGGAAAAGGAAATATCTTTTCAGTAGAATGAAACACTTTCCTTTTGGTAGAGTTCATGGAAGTATAGTTAAGAGAAAGAAGATCATGAGATAAAATTGCCTTTTAAAATACAAACTAACGAAGCAAAAGTCAAAAAAATTAACAACGATAAGCGGTCAAATATGAGACATATTTCGCATGAAATAGCTAGAATCGTTTACAGAAAACAAGGAACATAGAGAAGAAAGATTACAACATCTTTCACTTGAAAAAAGCCTTCACCTGCCAAATGTACTCAATACTACTGGATCACCAAGTCTTTCTACATCAAGAAATAATGAAAGTTATATTTTTCATGACATTTACTGAGTCCTGATGGAGATCCTATTCCAAAATCAGTAGGTTTTACAAGCAGCAAGACTATTTCCTCCTTTTATTTTCTAAGTCACTTTTTATGAAGTAAACTCATAATAAATACTCAATAACAGAAGAATTAGGGTTAATAAAACTGAAAACAGATTTCTTCAGGTAGGAATAATTTTGAAGAGCCTGCAGAAGTGAATGACTAAATTATTTAATGTGTCTTGGTTTAAAAAATTGTGAGGTTGCAAGTTCAAACTCCAATTGGAGCCAAATTAACTAGAAAAAAGAGCAAAATGTCAAGGTGTAAAAAGCCTATACCAAAAGTGAAATTATACATTCCAAAGATTCATTAACTCTCAGTGGATGGCCAGTAGCAGTGCACAAGTGATGACTTAAAGAAAAACAGATACAATACCAAAGAATCGGAATTCACAAATTTTATATCACTGTTTGTAAATATCATTGCATGGGGCAAATGCTTAAACTTAGATCTTGAAGCAATGTTCAATCTTACCTTCTATTTCTTTTTCTTTTTTTCGTATGGTGATTTATGCAGAATGAGGGAAGTAATGCACAAGATATTAGAAATAAGTTTCAAAGGATTGACTTTCTTATCATACAAAGTTCACAAGACATTGACATCAAAAACTATATAGCAGATGCAACAGATTTAATGGACAAATATTTATGAGCAAATGAAGCAGGATATAATTCAATTACCTCTAATTCAACTAGTCCAGATAAAGGAGGGTCCTGAAAACAGTATCTGCCATATGACCTGTCTTTCTGTCTTGTAGGCTTTTTCGTCCGTTTAGGCATTGATTTAGATAAGTTAATGTTGTTTTTGTTCAGCTCAGGAAACAAATTCTGCAGTTAAAAATGCTAAGGAATAAGATAAACATTGACCAACACTAAAATCCTCAACAACAAAGATAAACTTGCTAAATCAAACCACCAGACAAAAAAATCGCATGCCAATGCTTTAAAGAGAAGTTTTGAAACAATATATATACATGCAATTTGAAGCTGGAAAATCCTATACGTTGTGATATATAGAAACTAAAATGTTAGCTTCAAAACAAAAGAATGCCCTTCATTTTATATCGCATTTTTCCCTTTCTCATAATGCATCATACGCATGGATAAAGGGAAAACTGTCCACATAAGAAAATATAGGAATTTAGTTATTTAACTGCATTGGCATTATCATCCAACTGCAACATCGTTTGGTAGCTGATTTGACTTAAAGAAGCATTGTGTGTTTGTTTATACATGTTCACATGTTTGTTCGTTTATCTGTGTGGACATTTGAGAGAGAGAGAGAGAGATGTTTATCAATTACCTCATTCAACAAAAAAGAATCAGTCCAACCAGCAAGGCTAGAATCCCCACAGCCCAAACCATTTAGTAGTCGTTCAGAGTCTTCAAAAGTGTTGGATTTATCAGACAATGCTTCACGGTTTTGATGCGAGAATCCAGCCTTATCAATAAATGGGACCTCCAGCAATAAAGGCCCAACTTCTTTTCCACTGAAATCCATCAGAAATTGTTAGTGCAAGTCTGGATTATCTTCTGGGTGTATTCAAATGATGCACAAAATTGGCACCAAAAGTGATCCCAAAAATAACAGATAAAATGAAAATTTTAATTATAAGGGAAGCAGAGAGAGAGTCAAAATCTTAGCTACAACAGTATCAGATTCTGATAATCACGATACTGTGTAATCTATGAGCGGGTAGACCTTTGCATTACAGAAGTGATAAAGTTTATTTGTTAACTACAGCATTTCTGCTGTTGTATGTCTTATGGTATAAATAAAATGCATCAAATTAATAGCATAAGTTTGTTAAGTTATGTTATCGATTTGTTTTCTCTAACCAAAAAGAAAGAGAAAGGGGGATTGAAAATGCCAAAAGAAATCACAAAACATCAATGCAATCGACTAAGTAAGAGCACAACATTTGAAAATGAGCTGCCTATGAAACTATGCCTAACACTTGAATAAATACAAATGTAGCACATATACCTTTGCAGCATGTATGGATGCTCCGGAACACGTTTCCCTTCCTTTATGCAATCTTCCACCCACCGATGATTAACTATGACTATTTTTAACTTCTTGGCAAGATCATATTTCCTCCCTTCAAATTTCCAACAAATCTGATGATCCAAATAAAACAGAATCCATCTGAAATCTCCATAATCAAACAACAAAACTCATTTGACAGGTACCCATTCTTTCTATTTTTACATTTTCCAAAAACTACCATCCACATTTCACCTCTAAGCGAACCCTAAAACTTGAATTGTAATTAAATGAGATGCTGAGTTAGAAAACAGACCAAGTGTGTAGTCGATCTTGACATTGCACCTACATAATTGGCACCGGCCTGAGATATCAGCTTGATGAGGTTGAACCGCTCGGAGCCATGGTAGCCACTAACAGTTGCCACCACAGTCTCCATTCCTCGAATTGGGTAATCCATAGACTCTACAAAATCACAACACATGTAATTTAAAATTAATAAATGCAAATAAATGATTTAAAAAAATTATAAAAAACTACCAATCCTGAAAGCCCAAAGTCAAACCCTAACCAGGAGACTGAATCTCAATTTCTGCACGCGCTTTAATCAGTACTTCAATTCGAATTATGATTTTCTAATCCACTGAATCTTCGTTAACTGGTAATCCACAGCACCGAATCTAGCAGAAAAAAAACATAAAATTAGAAAAAAAAATTATCAATATTGAGATTTTCAGAAAAATGTAGCTCTTTCGATTTTTTTTTTTTTAATATAAAAGAAAAGAGAAATTGCGTTTAAATTTCGTTAACTCTTCTATGTCGACAGTTTCTGTAGAGAGAATTACACCGTGAGATTGGATGGTGCGAGATTGGAGACGCTGTGAAAGGAATCTTTTTCTTCAATGGCAGATTTGCAGGGAGGTTTGCCGGGAAATGCAAATATTTGAAATTCTTATGAAATCCGCTACTTTGTTAATTGGCGGGCTAGCAGTAGGGCCATAATGTGGAACGGATCGGTTTCCATATTCGGATTTGGACGGGTTCTCATTTTAAATTGTATTTTTTAAAAAAATCATTATTTTAATTCTATGGTTTGGTTAGAAAATCAAATTTGTGTATTTGAAGAGTATTTTTGAAATAAAATTAAATGGTTTAAATTTTATCATTAATAAAATATTATGGTTTAAGACAGATAGAATTAAATTAATGATGAAATTTAAATTTCATTGATTGTGACTTATTTTTTCTCAATCAAATAAAGAAAGTTCTATCAATCTCTGGTTTCATTACATCACTCAAATTACATGAATTCAAACAAACCATCAATTAAAAACAAAGTAAAATAAAAAATTATATCATGCAAAAATTTTTACCATAAAATTTTTTTTTATCTTCTTTGAATAACTTCAATCATTTTATTTGATTTGATTCTTAAAGTTTGTTTGATAACAGCATTTCATACGACCTAGTATTTATATATTATAATAATGTTTAGAGTTTGAAATAATAGAGAATGAAACATTTTTCTCTTTTGACGTTTATAATAAAATGTTATTTAAAATAAATAATTTTTGACAAGTAGGGGTGCGCAGAACTACCAACCAAATCAACCAATTTTGATTTGATTCAGTCGACACATTCAAAGGAGATTCGATTTGAACTGGAATTTTTTAGTTTGAGTCAATTTCATAGAAATTAATCGGTTCGACTTAAAACCGAAACGACAAAACCAAGTAAAACCAGCTGAACCAACTGGTCCATTCAATTCAGTTTGGTCTGTCATTTAGAAACTCCAGTTTTCATTTTCCTGTCTGAATTCAATTCGATCTGAATCGACCACTATTGATAAGTTACAACTGACCGTCTGGCTAAGAGCAATTGAGCATGATTTGATATAAGCCTTACAATTATCAAGTAAAGTCTCCTTTTATGATCCTTATTATCATAGTGAACAAAACTTTTATACACTTTTAATTTCTATCTACCAGGATTTCAAACATTAGATTGCAACAAATAAGTTTGTATTGAAATTTTACTGTAAATTAAATTTCTATTTCAGATAATCTCCAACTCCATTAAAGGAATGCGACTGCAATCAGTCTTAAACTCTCAACTTACACCAGATACACAGGCAAGAAGTTGAAGCAGCAAAATTGAAAGAGGAGCATTTACTTAAAAAAAATAGAGAGAGAGAGAGAGAGAGAGAGAGAGAGAGAGAGAGAGAGAGTTACCAACATGTGATGTGAAGAAAATTAGAAACCTACAAGATTGTGGTCAGAAGGTCAGGGCACTTGAGGAATGCAGTATTGCCGGTAAACATGTAGCTTCAAGAGGCCAACAAGACAATGAAAATAAAAATATATAAGAAAGAAGATGCACAGCATCGCCTTCATCTTCTAGGGTTTCCACCTCGAGCTGGTGCCTCATACACACTTCCAGCACGAGCTGTTGGTGTTGCAGACCCATAAGACACAGTGTTTACCGGTGCCATTTGCCCATGTGGTCCCCTTTGTGCATCATAGCCGGCTCCTGAAGGCAACAATTGAAAGAGGAAGCATTTACTTAAAAAAAAATTAGAGAGAGAGAGAGAGAGAGAGAGAAGAGAGAGAGAGAGAGAGAAGAGAGAGAGAGAGAGAGAGAGAGAGTTACCAACATGTGATGTGAAGAAAATTAGAAACCTACAAGATTGTGGTCAGAAGGTCAGGGCACTTGAGGAATGCAGTATTGCCGGTAAACATGTAGCTTCAAGAGGCCAACAAGACAATGAAAATAAAAATATATAAGAAAGAAGATGCACAGCATCGCCTTCATCTTCTAGGGTTTCCACCTCGAGCTGGTGCCTCATACACACTTCCAGCACGAGCTGTTGGTGTTGCAGACCCATAAGACACAGTGTTTACCGGTGCCATTTGCCCATGTGGTCCCCTTTGTGCATCATAGCCGGCTCCTCTTGATGCATCATAATGAGGACCCCGTTGCACATCATAAGGTGGTCCTCTTTGGACATCATAACCAGGTAGTCTCTGCGCATCATAGGTAGGTCCTCTCTGCATATCATATACAGGTCCTCTTTGAGAATCATAACCGTGTCCCCTTTGTGCATCATAGCCGGCTCCTCTTGATACATCATATCCAGGTCCTCTTGATGCATCATAACCAGGGCCCCCTTTTGTTGGCTCATAACCAGGGCCTCTGGGTGCATCATAAGAAGATTTTGTAGTTGCAGAGCCGGATTGAGCTCCAGTATAAGTAGGAGTCCCAGCACCAGGGCCAGCATTAGTAACTGTACTAGCATTGGCAGAAGCACCAGCACCAGTACCAGCACCAGAGTTACCAGGAATGGCAGCATATCCCTGTCAAAAAAAAAAAAAAAAAAAAAAAAAAAAAAAAAAAAAAAAAAAAAAAAAAAAAAAAAAAAAAAAAAAAAAAAAAAAAAAAGCAAAAGGTTTTCAGTTTCACTTTGATGCTCAGGAGCAAAGCAACATAATTGCCTATCATAATCATCATCTTCGCATAGATAATAAGAAAAATAACAAAAATGGAAAACAACTTTTTAAGAGTAAGACTATAATGTAAAATAATTATGAGGATTCCATTTAATTAGGGATTAAGACTTGGTCCAGTTAATTATGAAGCTTCCCTTCAATACAAATTCAGCCAGGTTCAATTTTGAAAATCTGTATTAGGAATTGGTTCAGTTCAGCCACACAACCACCTTCAAAAATGTGCACAATAAAAAGACGTACAAAGCCATGACCATCCAGATTTAGTTTTCACATGGTGACAATATTGAATAGCTCAGATTCTTGTCATGAAGAAAAATAAAACTCATGTTTTCATATCAACAAGTCTTAAATCATTCAGGCACAATGTTTGCATTAATTTTAATATTACTGCATCCACTATTAAATTTGAAATTTTTGACAGCAAATATTGACAAAGTTCAGACAGCTAAGGGACCAGATGTGAATGATACAGAAAAGAAGACTATAATATAAGAAAGAAAATAACAAAACCATTAATGTAGATTAGAAGTTGGTGTACCTGGCCTTGGGGAACCCCATAGCCATCATCATGCACATTTTGTCCAGCAGGTCGAACAGAAGCCTCATTCTCACTGTTTCCAGTGGCACCAACATAAGGACCACTTGCAACTGAACACAAAAAGTGAACCTCATTTACAAATATAGAGAAATATTGAGCTTTAAATGAGCAAAAGGAACAAGAAAGTACCAGTTCTCATGTCAACATTAGCTGTGTTACTAAGTACTAAGCGAAGCTTCTCCACCTCCCTGGCCATTGTAGCATGGTTCTTCTCCATGGCCTGAACTGACTCAAGGTGGTCACTGAATACTT